GCTATATAAATAAAATTGAATTGAATTGGATTGAATTGATCATTCTTCCACACAATTAGTTTTCAAGTTCTGAGGTTCTGTGGGCCCCTTTTATGGACTCAGAGCTTTAGTACTCTCCATAGATTCTAAATGCGATTGAGGTCAACTGATTGGCTGAGCCATTATTTTCTTTCTCTGAAAACAGTTGAGAGTTTCCTGTTTTCAGTATCACACATCCACCGGCGTTTTATCTTCATCATCCTAGTAGATGCATGCATACAGTCCATGGCGGTTGAGTGCATCACTTACTGTTTTCTTCAAAACAATTGTACCTGCTGATTCCAGTGGTCTTTGGCTCTTGAACAACTCTTCTGATATCCACATTAGGTAATGCAGTGAAAGACTTTCAAAATTTCTCTATACCACACCAAAGGCAGACTAAATTACAACAATGTTTTTCTGAGGAGTGGAAATATGGACTTTACTTTTATTTTAATTGCACAAAAAGGCAAAAGTACGCTGGTAGAGTGCAAACTGCATCTGGGACAAAACCAATACAACTCTTGCTCTTTGCATACGTCTACACAAACAGCATGCTGACATAAAGCTACAGACGAATCCAGAGTGATGTTAAAGCTGAGCATATGCTGAAACATGATGTAGCCAGAGCCTGAACCTTAACAGTCAACAAAAGTGGTGATGAGCAGTCAGGCCTGCAGCATTGCAGACTTCATTTCTGTCCGTATATATTCTAAAGTTCATTCACTGAGGGAATTCCTTTGAGCTGGTTTTCAGCTGCTTTGTGATGTCATTTTTGTGGTTTTATGTAAAGACTAAGAAAAAGAGCACATGTATGTCCTGATTAGGATAGTGATTTGTGTCGGCATGGGAGACTATAGCTCAGGTTTATATTGTTAACTGGTCATTGTGTCAGAGTGCACTTCAGGGCATATTACTGAGTAATCCAAAAGTAATATAACAAGAAATGCGGCAAATTATTTTTTACAGGGAGTGATTTAGTGCCATGCTGGATTACTTTTAAGAAAAGAAATCTACCATCATCCTCGTGTTTTGTTCTGTATTCTGATCTTTAACTGAATTTCTATTAAGATTTTTAAATACTAGTGCAAAAACTAAATAAAGAATTACAATATTGTGAAAAGAAATTCATCAGATGTAAATATAAATATATTTAGCTTTTTCCTTTTTTTATTTTGATGATTAGCTTACAGCCCATGATGACCTTATAGCTCATGAAATATCCTTTATGGCGTCGATGCAGCGTGGCATAGAGGTGATCAGCCCAGATTGCTTTGATGGCTGTGTTTTTGATTCTTTCTGGGGTTCAGGTCAGACAAGCTGCCTTGCCCATCAACTTCAGTAAGAACGTAGTTAGCAAACCATTTGGTATTTCCCATTTTGGCACTGTAGGCAGCAGCTGAGTCCTGCTAGTAAAGGAAATCAGCATCACCATGAAGCTAGTCAGCAGATGGAAACATGAAGTGCTCTAAAACCTCCTGGCAGATGGCTTTGTTGATTTTGGACTTCATAAGTAGACCTAATCAGAAAAGCATTTAACTATAGGTCATACAAGTGTATGTTAAGTGTAGGCCTATGGTTGGAGTCTGACAGACAGAGTCATTATAATGGAAACAGGCTTCAGGCTCCAGCAGAGGACTGTAAGCTATGTGACAATATTTTTACATGGCGTTCTGTAATGTTCTTGGATGAAGACAACTTACATTACTGTAAGGGATCAAATGAACTAGAAAAAGTGCATTTAGCTGAATTTATCTAGGTCCTTCACTAAAAAGTTTTAGAGCACAGCTCATGAGTTTGTGGTGAAAATTGTGTGAGCTGTCTATGGCCAAATATGGAGTTCCACAGGGTTCAATGCTAGGATCAATTTCTATTTACATGATACATGCCTTCCTTAGGCAATATCATCAGAGGCATAGCGTACCGGCACCCAACTCTGCCTAGCCAGATAACGCACACCAATTAGTTAAACTGCAGGAATGTCTTAAAGACATAAATAGCTCTAATTCTCTAATTCAGTGGTTCCCAAACTTTTTTTGCTGCCCCCCTCCCCCCCCCAACACTGCTTCGTCCACACCTCCATGGGTATTTTTGAAAACACAGCTGTTTCTATGCGTTTGGGCCTTTCGTCCACACGTACACGGCATTTCGAATCACCGAAAACAGATTTTTAAAAACTCCTTTTTTGCATTTACGTGTGGACGAGGAGTACAGAGTTCGGCACGCAACGTCAAAAGTATGTGCCTTTTTTCACGTCACGCTGTGCACCACGTTATTGTTTACATGAGATGAATTCACTTGGCCTTAAACAGCTTACAAATATGGATATGAAACCAGATTCTTACTCTGGATGGCATTACCTTGGCCTCCAGTAACACTGTGAGGAACCTTTTTTTGACCAGGATATGTCCTTCAATGTACATATTAAACAAATATGTACGACTGTTTTCTTCCATTTGCACAACATCTTTGAAACTAGAAACGTCCTTTCTCAGAGTGACACTGAAAAACTATCCATCTATCATCCTTATACTTCCTCCTCATACTTATTTTTCCCCAAAATCAACTTTTAACTACAGAAATGAATGCAGCAAACGAAAGGGACCAAAAGAGGAGAAGGGGGTAGTACTGTTGAATGCTACAAAACAAGGAGGATAAAGTCAGTAGCACTGGTGAGAAAAATGTTCCTGACACTTGCTGATGATGGTACTATCCTCTCTTCACCTGTCAGTGGTTTCATTGTTGTGGTTTACTCGCTAATATTCATGTTGGACAGGAGGACAATACTACTGGGTTTTGCCATATCTATACATTGCAAGCCAGAATCATAATGCCTACTCAAGAATATGCAGAAGCATTAAAAAGTAATTCATTTTGCTCTGGGAACTTCTGACAACTATGTCTTATGTATTTGGATGTTCTTCCTACAGACACGGTGGACTCCATCACTCCAGACAAGGTTAGAGGTCTAAGAGACATGTTGAACAGCAGTGCCATGGACATCATGTACTACACAAGTCCTCTGTACAGAGATGAGGTGAGTGAAAAAGCTCCACCATTTCAACATTCAGGGTAGTTGTAGCTCAGGTGGTAGAGCAGCCTACTAATCAGAAAGTTGGTTGTTCGATCCTTGTCTTCTCCAATATCCTTGGGCAAGACACTAACCCCAAGGAGTTCTCTAAATGTTAGATAGAAAGAACTTACAGAGAAATCTGGGGAAGCACTTTTGGAGGTCGGTGGATCCTGGGAGTCTGGCAGTCATCTCTGCACCTGAATGTGATCACTGATCCTAATGCACATTCAGGTATCAATAAATCAAGTACACATTAGAAAGTCTTTGGCAGCGAATTCACTTCTGAGATTTTTACTTCATCCATGTAAAAATTAGGGTCTTTCTCTTCCCAGCCT